CCGCAAAGTACGCCAAAGGCAAAACAATCGGGAGCTGATAAAATGTAGTAACACGATGTAGGGCCAATCGTATCCCGAGGGTAAGCCGTCCAAGATCGAGTATCAATGCGACATACCCGTGTTCATGGGGCACAAACCACAAGCGGACATTGAGATATTCAGCAACGATGACGATCGTGACGCACCAATTCACCTCAGCGACACCACGAAACGAGTGGCTACATTGTTTCTCGATCTACATAAGATACCCAAGTCAGCAAAGGCAGCCGCAAAGAAGCGGAAATTGGGATGGCACCGGTATTATTGCCTGACTGGCGTGATCGAAGCAAGTTATGGGTCAGCCACAATCACTTACACCGTGAAGCTTGGAGGTTCGTTCGCTCGCATCCGATCTTCTCAGGATTCGATCTGATGACGAGGCTGGATCTAACGTGCCTTAGGCGTAACACACGACGTTATCAGAGTACGCTATGAATGAATAGGCTCGGGGTTTGTGTCTGAGGCGTCAGGAGTTTGGTAGGTACTCGATGATGGTACGGCTCGTCGTGTTCTGGTACCGCCTTGTTGGATGCAAGAGAACCCGCGGCTTTTGTTGCATGCTGCTATCCTGCTCTTTCACTAAAGGTGGTGGCCTTTTTCTTCTCAATTATACAGCAGGCGAACAATCTGGTGACTCTGAATGTTGAGAATATGGGATGCCTGATTTTGAAGATGTTGAAGTAGAAGGCAGTTGGGATTTTCCCTCCGAGTCGTCTATAACTGTGACATCTCGGGTAGGTGCTACTCTATCGCCTTGGTACTGCTTTGGGAAAGAGCTGAGGCTCGACAGGCGCAAAGTGCATCACGTGATATCGCGTTCCCGCCCCTCCTCTGCGTCGCGTCTCTCTTCTCGGGCAACCCAGCGCTTGTCCATCAACGCCCAAAATCGCGGCTTCAGTCGCTCTCGGTGCCGACAGGCAATGACTGACGATCAGGATCCTCTCTGTGCCTCTCAAGCGCGTGCACATGGCTGCCGACACGGGAGAAGGTGGTCCGCCACCGTCCACACTGGCGGCGCAGCTGGTTGAAAACATCGCGGCGTCGTCGAAAGCCCCCCGAACCGATGAGAATAGCGAACTCAAGGGTCTCCTGGCCATCATCCAGCGCGTAAAAGACAAGCCAGATCTCCTCAAGTCGTCGAATGACCGGCTCGAGCACAATCACATGCTCATCTACGTCTACTGCCGAGTGGTACTCGAAAACATCAAGCTTGACGACCCATTTCTTGATCGGGCCAATGTCCGAACCGAGTCGCAGAAGGCCATCAATTTCCTGCGCTTCACCATCAAAGAGACGCCGTCCGTATTGCTGCATAAGAATGAAAATCGCAGACTGCTGTTTCGCGGCCAAGAGCCTCTGTGGGTTTGGCTCTTGCCACAGCTGTTGAGGCTTCTGGGTCACCCTCAATGTTTTGAACTGGAGAGCTCCATTGAAGGGTTCCTGCAGTATATTCTTCTTCTGGTCGCAAGGACAGGGGCCCTGTGGAAAGTGGCTCCGTCTCTAGGGCTGTATCTTCGCGCATCGTTAACGTGTATGTCATTATCCCGTCCACGTTCTCAACAAGGGCTAATGAGTGCATCTAGCGCTTCTCGACCATCTGCAAAGTCCCTCTCTTGTCCCTTCTCACGCAGATTTGCGTACAGATCTAGAACTGCCTCCAATTTTTGCTCTTGATCAGATCCTAGGCAAAGATGGACAGCACACGCCGAAGCGCTTGTCATACCCGGTTTACACAATATCACAGGGGCTGCATCTGGCATCAAGCCTGGCGAGAGTGCTTGCACATCCCATTATATCGCCCGATTCGGCATTTTCCAATAGTGTATCCCTATTGGAGAATGGGCCATGGCTTATAGATGCCTACCTCGACTTGCGTCATGTCCAAAAGCGATGGGAGCTACCCTCACAAAGCACTCCCCTTCCACTGGTGGAATTGACCATGGATATTATTAATTCGTCCATTGCCAGTGACTATCCAAGCGCCTCGCTCATTGAGAAATCGTGTGCCCTTCTTATTCTACTCTGTAGCGAGATGATTTCCCCCCCTGATGAGCTGGTACAGCCAACTCCAGCTGGCAACCAGGCAAGGTCCACCTACTGCATGGCTCTTATAGCGATTGCTCAAGCGTCCTTGAAATCGTACTCAATAGGCCGTTTTGCGGCGTCGAAACTTGTTCAGGAACTTCTCTTACTGTCATCACAGTACTCGACCATTGGAGAAGATACTGATGTTTGGGTGAGTGTCGACAAACAGGAGACGGTGGAAGGGGCTCGTGGTTTGCTAACTCGAATGAAGCGAAGCATGATTCTACTGAGACAAGCAATTGGCTCTTTATCGCAGGATTCCTTCCTCGATAGCATACACCCGTCAAAGTTCGAGAGCGAAGAACTTCGCAAAGGCATTCAAGATCTGCACCTGAACTATGCTGCCCCTCATCAAGCAGCGAACGCGGGCAAAAGACGAAAGCTTGCAGAAGAAGCGACGGACTCTTTGGCGATACTAACGCAGGGGATATATGAAACTCTTCAAGTGACCCCGCCGGCAGATGATGATGTGATCATGTTCGAGCAGATATACCTGTAAGTTTCCCAATTCAATCTGAGACCGCATAGCCTGATTCAGTAATAGGGATGCGTATGATAAGTGCAATCAATCGAACCAATCTCTGGCCGTGGAACTTCTTTCTCGGATATGTTGCGTTGTCGATAGCCCTGCGCGATTGAACAGTTCGACGGAGTCCGTCACAGCTCCCTTGGCATGCTCTATCTGCGACGAGAGCCCTACTAGCTCACGGAAGATTTCATCGCATCATGCGAAAAGTGAAGCAAGGCGTATATTTTCCAAGTTGATCCGCCTAGCATCCTTTTCTGAATCAAGACGGCCAAGGATCGCTGCCATGATTGCTCTCAGGAGGCTCATATTGCACTGCGAAGATGCAGCCTTTCTGAATTTGGAGACTCCTGGCCCGGGACAGTGGTGTCTTCAGTCACTCAACAGTTCTCTGAGAGAGCTTCGTATCTCGGCTGGGAGAACGCTGGCGCTTTTTATGCCTCCGAAACCAACTTACAATATGGATGAGGCGTTGCTGTCGCGCAACAGGAAAAACTCGATTGCCCTCCTAAAATCTGCTTCCGAGGCTGACCCGCCATTCATGGTTGAGACGCGGATTCTAGCCTGGGGTCAACTCGGCAGAGTCGTGACAGAAG